GCATATGATAATATTTTGAAACACCAAGGCATACAGCTCATGCCACTCTTTGAATAGTTTTACAGTTTAAATTATCTAAATCTTTATCAGATATTGCTGCAGAATGCAAATCAAAATCTGTTTCTAGTGCTGGTTATAAATTTAAGGTTGGGATATCTGATTTTGCAAATAATGGGATCTGAAAATATGAAGATATTTTTAATATCTTTTTTAACTCTAATAATAACAATTATCTGAATATTTATAAATTTTGGTAAGAAATGAAAAAGGATATTCAATTAGAATATAAGGTAGATTTACCGAACTTAGTTATTTTAAAACCTGGAAAAAATCTATATAGTGATGAAAATGTTTATAGTGCTGTAAGAATGTATTATGATGATGTTGGACTTGATTGTAATGAAGATCTTTATTTGGCTTGTGATAAAGCTATATTTTGACGCCTTGTAAAATTAAATAAACATCAACCTGAAATAAGTTTATTATTAGGAGGGTGGTATACATCAAAAATAATATGTGCTACATTACTTCATTTCTTTTCTAAATATAGTATATATAGTTTAGCAGCTAAGTTAGGAGTAACATATTTAGATAAACTTGAGAAAGTTGTTAATTATATAGCTACTTGTTGTGTTTTAGAGTTAATTTGGATTGCCGTAGGAGGTACTTTTAGTCAATATGCAAAACAACACAACAAACAAATGGATAGTTTAATTAATGAAAACAATAATGTTGTAAAGGTTTGGTATTTATTTTTTTGTTGGACAGATTTATGGATAGGCCATAAGCTTGGAATATGGCATGGAAATTATGAAATGCAAATAGAATATTTTACTGCATTCACTCCACTTTTTCCTATAGTATGACATAGTAATTATGCTTAGTTTGTAACAAATTTTTTATCATTTATTGGAAAAAATCCTGTTCTACAAAAAATACTTGAATATATTAGTTCAGTAAATTTAACTCGCCCAGATCACTATTTTGCCTATAAAGCTATTGAAAGATTTGGGGTCAAATTCATTAAACAAAACATTAGTTCTATATTTCAGTCAGCTGAGGATTTAAAATCAAAAATTATTTCTCTACAAGCTGAACAAGAATGATTAATTTTACTTTTAAGTGACTATATTAATGAACATTCATTAATACTAGTTGATCGAACTACAAAATCTCATGAAGAAGCACTTTAAAATGTAACTAATTTATTAGTAAAAGCATTTAATCTACCTGATTCTACTAAACATGAGCTTTTTAGTGAAACATCTCAGAATACTGATTTAGGATTTAACATGGTATTAAATGCTTAGAAGATATCTATAAGCA